GGGGGTCAGCGGCGCGATCTGCGTCCTCGGGATGAGGATTGTTGGGGGTCAGCGGCGCGATCTGCGTCCTCGGGATGAGGATTGTTGGGGGTCAGCGGCGCGATCTGCGTCCTCGGGATGAGGATTGTTGGGGGTCAGCGGCGCGATCTGCGTCCTCGGGATGAGGATTGTGGGGGGGGGGTCAGGAGAGATTCTTCTCTGAAGGGACAATGGAAACAATGTATCAGAATGTGATTGGTGTGTCTGGATAACGATATACTGACATGAGACCCCCTCCCCCACCCCTCCGCTCTGCCCATGACCGGAGCGCCGCGTGTTTGATGTATGATCGCCATCCGGCGCCGTTTACATTCAGCGCACACTGGGACTTAGGGAGATGGCGGCAGAATTTGAGAGGATACAAAAGTCTGGAAAACTCTAAACGGCCCAGCGCTGGAAAAATGGTTACAGAGGGATTTCCATGGAGATGATCAGAAGCCCAGGGGGCCCCTAACGGCGGGGGCCCCATCACATTGGTCAGGACCCTGCCTGTCAGTGGAGGAATGTGCAGCAGCTCATCATTCAGCTCCATCTCCCCCTCAGGAATGAGATGTCATTGGATTGCCGTCTGTCTGAGGTCATGTGACTCCGATTATCAGACACATTGTTTCATCGTCTCGGCCGGGAGGAAATGACAATGGAATCTCGGAACTCCCAGGTCACCCCATCGACTTCCTTCTCATCATCCGATAACGAGGAGCCGAAATCCTATCAGCCAATGGGAAGAGGCGGATCAGAGCCCCGGGATGCAGACATGGCGTCATGGAGGAGCCGTAAGGGGTGATTTCATACAATGCGATAAGAGGAAGACACCAGAATTGTCTGCACTGTGCCCATCTATCGTATTGTGACTGTTGTCACCGAGACAGAAAGCAACAGGAAATCCAAAACTGTTGTCACCAGACGAGGAAAATCTTCTAATGGGGAAACCGGTTTGTGCTGCACAATGGTTGCTGATCCCAGTGGCGTCACAAGGGGGGGTGCAGCCCGCACCTGGGTGACACCATTGGAGGGGTCGTGCACAGATAAATCTAAAGTGCCGGAGCGCCACGCTGACGGGCCCTAGGGGCCGGAGTGCAAACATATTGCCCCGGACCAGCCATAAGGCCGGCCCTAGAGGCGATGTGCAGTAAATGCATGGAGTGCTGTGACCTGGTGTCAGTGAGTCAATGTGGGGTCCCACACCCAATGTGATTCTCTGGCACCCCACCCCCAGGGGGCACCACGCCACGGGCCTCTGCCGCCCCCCGAAACCCTCCGGCCAGACCAAGCAAGCACCCGTTCCATCAGGAGGCCGTATACCAAGACTGTCCCCCCTCTCTCACATGGGGGGAATGTTCCGTTTTCTGCCCGTGTTGTCAGAGACGCAGAGTTGGGATTTCGGATAGGGGGGGGTGATGAAGTGCGGCCCCCGGGTGAGGAGTCATTAGTCACACATTCGCGGCGCGTTATTAGCGGATGTGCTGACCGGCGATTCCAGAATTGAGAAGATGTATCAGACGCAGATCATGTGACAACCCGCAGTCATCGCTCATTCTGTATTGCCGCGCACGCGTTTCATTCAGCAGTTATTTGTGCGATTGCTCGGCGGGCTCAGGACGATGCCGGGCCAGGCGCACATGTTTATTCAACAGATATTTATATGCAACACATGGACGGGTTTCCATTACAGGAGACAATGAAATCCTGCCGGGTCAGCGATCCTCCACCGCGCTCCAGATTCACATGATTATCCCAAAAAACACATCCATCATCCATAACTCTGCCCGGCCAGCATACACCCCCTCCATCCATGTCTCTGCCCGGCCAGCATACACCCCCTCCTCCATCCATAACTCTGCCCGGCCAGCATACACCCCCTCCATCCATGACTCTGCCCGGCCAGTATACACCCCCCTCCATCTATGACTCTGCCCGGCCAGTATACATCACCTCTTCCATGATTTAGCAGGACCTGCTCTGCTCCTGCATGAGTCAGAGTGCTGATGTCAGGGTGCCGGGTTGTCTGGTTTCCGGTTCTCAGGTTGGTTATTTTTAGGTGTTTTTCAGTCATTTTTGTGCTTTTTCTTCTTCCCGGATGCGCGGCGGGAGAAAACAAGTCTGATGGTCCGCGAGGACTGCCAGACATAGAGTTTGTTGTTTCCTATCTTGTTGCAGAACTCCCACGGGGAGCCGGTGCCGGGTGACACCGCGCGACTTACCGAGAACCGAACATTCATCCCATTCCATAATGGGCCCAACACCGGAAACCCGCCAGTCAGCCTTAAAGAGACAGGAACCCTTCAATTCACCTGCCCGGCACAGGAGACCAACAGTGACATTTACAGATCTGGATGGAAACATTTGAAGGGTTAAATCCCCGCAACGCATTCTAATCTTATCACATCCCGGTGATCCCGCCATGGAGATCCTTGTTCGGGCTCTTCCTGTTATGTCTGTAGCTTCCTGCCGTGTGTGGGGCCTGCTGGGTCCCTTCCATAGCTATGCACAGCACAAGGATAATGTTGCCTC